CTAGAATAACGTATTATTCCTATCATAATATACCAATATATTATGAAACGTTAATGGCGTTAATTGTACTTTGGAAAACGTATACCTACTGTGTTATTATATTATTATTTATCTATGTACACTTGTAGTACATTATAATATTATATAGGTATAGGTTACCTATTATATAGATACGTATTATTATTATTTAATCATATTTATCTATTTTTAAAACATTTTTTATTTGGATATGATGTTCTAACAATAAATACACACTCACTTAATTTATTCCAAATATTATTATTGCTTTTCTCGATCTCTCACGACACTTGTAAATAAATTATTATTTAGATATTTTTTAGACTTTCATAATATATTGATAGTGACAGCTCTGTAGTTTGTTATGATATTGTCAAATAGAACAATGTATATAGCCAGCCTAGTGCTGAGGTTATGTGCAGATTAATCATGTTTATTATTTTTTTGTTCAATGACGATCGGCGGTCACATTCCGAATATTAAATCCAATAATGAAAATAATAATATAAATTACGATGTACTTATATAAATATTAAATATAAATATTTTAAATAATGATTAACGAATATAATAGCATAAATATAATGTAATCGTAGTGTAATGTATTGTTTGAGTTTTTAAATGAAATTGTTGAATAATGAACATGATAATATTATGTAAATATGTTTGGTCGGGATTTTAAACCGTCGGTATTATGATTTGTCGGGATTTTAAACAGTCGGTACTGTGACTTGTCGGGATTTTAAACTGTCGGTATTGTGATTTGTCGGGATTTGGTATGTCGGGATTTTACATGTCGGGATTATAATTGTCGGGATTTCGACCCAGACCCGTTATATATAGTGTGATATATTTTAAATAGGTATTAAACCAACTACTCAGTAATAGACTACAGAAATCGATTACCTTTCAAAATTAATTTCAATATATAAAGTAATAACACAATATTTGACATTATACTATATTATATTTTACTACAACAAAATCAATTCGAAAACGAAGTATAGGAGAACGTGATATTGTCAATATATTATCTGACGGATGTATAATATCTAGACATATAAAAGGATATTATACATACGCAATGGAAAATTGATTACTAGTATGTGCTATATTGTAATACGCAGAATAGATTGGGAAATTCGCAAAATAGGCCATGGCCATATCCGTGAGGGCGGAGATATGACATCGATGGATAGGGGGAGCGGGGACCGGACTATAAGAGGGACCCCGAAACGGCCTGTATTTAGACGTGTTCACTCAGCTGTACTGGAAGCACCTTCACGATACTCTGTGTAATATTATTGTCATTTCGGACTTAGAACAATTCACTGAAGAACATTACAAATAAAACCAAATTATATTATAATATTGTCTACGTTTATTTCAACATACATCCTATCATCATCATCATCACGTTCTTGCTACCAGGCTACCTGCAACGTTGATATACAAGTAGTCACACAGGCTACCAGTTTATTACATAAAGACAAATCATTTTCTAAGCAATGTACACTGTGGTGATATAAACTTCTATTTTTCAAATGATAACCAACCTTTTTAACTTTAAATTGTTCAGCATATTAGTATTTTTTCAAAAATGTTGACGTATAATATTTAAATTAAAAGTCAAACAATAATAGTTTCTTAATTAATACAATTGATATACTAAGGATAGTTTATTTAGTCCTTTAAAATCGGCTACTAAAAATATCAAATAGACGTACCTAGGCACGGTTCCTTCGAGCTCTATAGTTTTGAGAGAACTGTAAATTGTTTAATAATTTTCATTCGTTCCCGTCACCCTTGAAAGGCTGTTGGTTCTTATAAATGTAAAATCACGTGTGTGATCCGCACTAGAATATTTTATTCGGAGGGTTTCATCGAATGCGTAAAGTTTAGACACAGGTACCGCTAGAGTCCCGAGGTCACTGTGATTGGTTGATACCTTTGAGTCCAGGCTCAGCGCTTTTTATTAATATTGGTTGTTAGTTGTTACGTTCGCCCCCCCCCCCGACGTTCATCGTCTGATAGGTACCGGTATTCGTCGCCACGCATGACCACACCTCATGATGCCACACCCCGTTGTGATTGGTGCGTTAGTTCGTCGCCATTCCTCGCGGTTTATCCCTTGTTTCGATTGGTGTATAACCCTTCTTTGATAGGTATTAACCACATGGTTTATATCAATATCCCCGATATCCGTGTAGTTTTAGCCCATCAAAATATTCAAATTGCGTGCGTAATAACCATTATCCCGTGATCATTTATCGTTATTACCGTATGCGAGTGTGATTGATTGAGCAGGTGTATATACTTATTTTACCTACATAATTGCATCACTGCCGTCACCGGTGAGATCCGCGCTTCGCACAGTATTGGTGGGAGGTTGGTAGTTCCTTATAGTATAAGCCTATGTCAAACGTACCAATGTGTATTTTAACTTACTTCATTCGATCTACCTGTCAGAATATCCGATCGTCAGTGTTCGGTATCCCATCATTCGGATAATATTGGAGGAGGTTCTCAACATAATAGCTGGTTATAGTTAAGGTTAATATGTTGATTTAAAGCAAGGACACATCCATGGTGTGGCTTACAAAACACATAGGTACTCGTATGAGTGGCTCGAACGTGTACATTATATTGGATCTATTATATCAAGCTCGGACAATTTAAAAAAATGATGAAATGTTGATAAATTAATATTAATTACTTAAATTCTCAAAATTATTGACAAAGCTCTCAAATATCTTTTACACTCATTAGTCATTAAAAATGTACCAATGGACTATGGACCTATTGGCTATTGTCCATAGAGCACAAAGTTAAATAACTCAAAAACTATACTTACCTACTCTTTTTGAATTTTAATTAATGTATTATAATATACTAGTATAGATTAGTACCTTAATCAAAATTTTCAAAAGAGTAATTCTCATTTGAAAAACAGAAGTTGATATCCACCATGTAAATAGCACTCTTTAAGTGGTATATAAGATCTAAGTATTTTTTATTATGACCCTAAGTACACTTAAAAGTTTCAAAAATATGTATTTGAAGAGATTCACAGTATAAAAGGAAAAATTGGAAGGGGTTAAGCATGCATGGTGAATCTTCCTGCAGATTTTGGTTAAAAACCATATTTAGATATTATATTGATAGGCATGGAGATAATAATAATTAGGACGATGTGGGACTTTTGGGATACACCATTTATAATATATACTATATTATATAGGTATTGTTTATAAATTTATAATATATTATATTACCTATATTTAGATACGAATTAAGCGCTATTGTGAATTATATAATCCACGTCCTATTTTATTCTATAAATGTAATAATAATTATCGTGTACCCGAACTTATGCAATATCGCAAGTTGTTCTATTCTCGTACAATATAGTTGTGTGAAATAATAATTTTATCTTATTATGATTATTTATTTTTTAACATCAATCTCTCTGTGTATAATAAATGGTGTATACAATATCGGTTATTTGGTTCACTATAATATATATATTCTTATATATTATATATTAATCTGGTTTCTCACTCGAAAATCGAGTTGCTTACTATTATTATTATAACGACGTTATTCATAAATAAATGTTAGCACACAGAGATCCGTCGGCAGTGTTAGTTCGAAAAACTAAGACAGGATTGGCATATTAATATCTAATTTGTAAACGGGTTAACACTAATAAACGTATATTATAATATTGCGGTATTCATTAAAAATCAACGACATGACATTAGATTGTTTGATAAAAATAATAAACTGTACGCTATATAATATTGAATATTCTACGTAAGCACATGCACAAATATTATTATTAGGGCGGAGAAGTTATAAATTAAAAACAACTATTAGATTGATTGCAGCGTATAACTATTTTTATCGTCACAAATAGTCAAGAAATTACATCAAAAAGGTACGTTTAAGTGATATTATTTAGTATTTAAACATTTTTATAAAGTTGTAATATAACAATTAACGGCTAATATACCTGCCTAACCCACCGTGCAAAGAATTGTTACGATTATATAAAAGGAATATTCCTAAGGAACATTGAAACGTTCCTACGGAACTTCCATTAGAGTTCCAAAAACATTCCGATAACGCAATATGCCGTGTTGTTTGAAACAATGAATAAAACATAACTGTACTGTATGTTACATTCATATTCCATTTATGGTTTTGTGGAACATAATTTTAACGTTTTTGTACAACGTAACTGATTTGTAAGTTAAGTTTATATTCCATTTATGGTACTCAGGAACATAATATTAATATTACTACAAATTGTTCCAGTTATATTTTTTTTTGGTTTTTGTAAATAGATTAAAATGTTATATTCCCGTTATGTTGTTTAACAGTTTCATGGATATACCCATGAAACTATATGTATAAGTGTACATAACTTACCAAGGAAAAGATAGAATATATATATATATATTATGTATTATATATAAACCATATTAATATATATATATTATATTCTACTTATCCTTTAAAAATTGTATTTAACTAGGTAGGTATAGAAATAAATACAAAATAATATAAGATTTCCAAAAGCTTATATTTAATAATAAAAACAAATTGTTTAACAATTAATAGATAACTTACATTTTTTATATACCTATTCAAAAGTAATATATTTTTATTCTTGCTATCAGATGGAATTAAAAAAAAATTATAATACAAAAAGTAGTATGATACTACAATAAATAACAATAAAACAAACATACATAAGTTCTAGTATTAATTAATTGATACAAGAGATAATATTAGTTATGGCATGGTAAGTAAAAAACATATTATATTGGTCTTACAAGTATATTATATTATAAATAAAATATACATTTTATATAGAAATATTATTATACGGTTCTTATAAACATAAATTGAATGTCTCAGTGCATTACAATATAGGTATTACAAATGCATAGTTCAAAAATTTAATATTTTTACAATTACATACTATGGCAAAGAGAAATAACAATTGCTTCATTATTTGAAAGTTGGACAAAAAAACACTTAAATATAATATTATTTACACTTATGTCATAAACATTAGATATATGATCAGTCTTAACAGAAAAAACTCCTACGAGTTTACTCGGTACAGGTTGTAAAAACAAATTATTTACAGTTAAAAATTTAACAACAGATAGTTTAATTGTACTATCATTTTTAGAGTTTAATTTATATAAACTTTTTATCATCACTATATCCTCATTTTCTAGAATAATACACCGATCTTTAACATTATCACAGCAAAGAGTATAGTTATTTGATTTAAGAATAATGTTTTTAAAATAAGTGAATCTAAAATTTGAGAGCTTTTTATCTATTTTAAAAGACTCTATAATAAACAAATTGTTATTTAAAGGAGTTTTTAACTCTTCACCTTCAGATGCTAATACTTTATTTAGGATTTCAGCAAGTGGAAATCTACAGCATTTCATTGATTTTTTAAGTGTTTGAAGATAATTTTCATATTTGAAAGCGCTAAAATTATCTAACGGCCCGTGTAAATTTACAAAAAAAGGCAAATGAATTAAGCTGTGTACATTGTAACTAACAAATTTTGAACCATAAATGCATGAATAATTTTGAACAAATTCTACTAAAAACTTTGAAGCTAAATCACTATGTGTATTAAAAATTTTATCTGAACACAGTATTCTAATAGATGTAAACAAAAGAAGAAAGTGATTGTATTGTTCCTTCTTTATATTAGATTTTAAGACAATAATACCAGTGTAAAGTAAAAATTCGCGGAATTCTGTCGCTTTCCAATATTCCAGATCATCTAGACTTCTTGGTAAACGAGCAAATTCTGATGGTATGGATTTTCTTAAATTGAATAAAGCTAATGAAATAGAATTTTTTTTTTCCTCCAACATTCTAACTGGTTTTTTACCTTTAACCCAGAAATCTAATAGTCTTTTTACCACACCCTGGCATACACAGTGCATGTAATCCAAAACTACACACTTTGTTATGTCGATAGGAAGATCTATCAATGGGCTAAATCCATCTTTATGATATTCAGCATTTGATTTTAACCTAAATGAATTATTTGTTCTTAACGGTGCAGATACATCTAAAAAGCAAATTCTATCCAAATATTCTCCTTCGACTTCACAAGACGTACAGGCAAAATAACCATTATGGTTTTTAACATTTAATAAAAACGCTTTAGCTGGCGCGTCTGCTACAATGTGAGCTACTTCAAAATTAATTTGTTTATTGTTTATTTGAATACCATAAGTTAATATGTGATTCAGCTCATTTATAAATGGTCCTAAATATTCATTTATATCACCAGGTTTACCATTAAAACTGTGAAAAATACCAACAGGAAAAATTTTCTTTTTAAAAATGGATACATTTATGAATGACATGAGAATAGGCCAAAACTGTGTTTTAGAATTTTTACCTAAAGGAAGACCATCAATACTGAAACTTAATTTTATAATTATATTATTAGTTATACTATTTATTTGTTTTAATAAGTGAGGTTGAACAATATTACAAATACCTAAATTAAGATATGAACCGTTTTTAATTTCTGAAATTGGTCTAACAGCTTTATGTTCACGTAGAATTGTACGGATATCCTTGGGAATTTCTTGACCTATGTTTCTAAGAATATTTAACATCTCATTGGCACAACCATGTGATACATTATACTGCACAGCCCACTTACGAATTTGTTGAACTAAATCTTGGTTTTTATCTTTATTACTATTAGTTACATACAACATGGCATCAATAGGCTGAGTCTCAGCAGAACATTCCTAAAAAATAAATGTGTACCTATCTATAGACAATAACTTAGTATTTCAACATATAAGGTAACAAAAAAATTTAAGTAATACTTACAATAGAAGCATGAAATTCATTTGTTAAGTTCAGAGTTGTATTGGAATCACATGGTTCTATATAACTGCAATTGTTGTTTGTAATGGTTGAATGAATTTGTTTATCAGGGGATTTCAAAAGTGCGATTGGATTGGACTAAAACAGTATAATAAAAAGTTGAGAAAATGTACCTATTTTATAAATTATATTATTTAACATACCTGAGGTGATGGCGGAATTTTAATAAAATTTGTAGCAATTGGTAGACTATTATTTAATAGTTCTATTTTATTTCTTATACGCCTTTGAAACTGACGTGAAGAAATAGTTCCAATATCTTTAACCCGTTTACAGATTTTTGGGAATACTGAAAAATTAAATTGTTAGTTAGAGATGATAGACTAATAAGTAATAATATAATGTTTGTCCGTTTAAGTTAAACCCAACTTTTATTATATCTAAATACATTACATTTTTATTTAATAACTTTATTGAAAGAAAAATTAATAGAATCTATTTTTCTGAATAGTCATGAAAAAACATATTGATATTAATTAAATTGGTTTAGGTAACTGTAAAATGTAATATTCTTAAATATTTATATTACACATTATTTACTTTTCCCTGTCGTAGCGAGTTTTTGCTGTCCTAAACCAGCTTTGGACTTCCATTTCAAATACAGAGTCGGAAAATTGATATTTATTTTTAATCACACCTAATAGTGAATAGAAATAATTATAATTGTATTGAATTATATCAAAATAAATTTAATTTATAATTTACCTTTAACAATTGAAATTATCTGTAAATCTTTTACTTTAAATTTAGTCAAATCTTTATCAAAGGCCCGGCCTGTCCAAGAACAATTAATTGCAAGTTGATTAGTAAACATTTTTGACAAAATGCGTCGCAAATGTGATTTACCATCATTACCGCCAATTGAGAAAAATATAATTTTCTAGCAAACAAGTATATTAGTTATATTAATAATTTATAATTTTAAAATAAGTTAAAAAATTAGATTATACAATTTTACCAATTTTTCTCTATCATTATTGTCAATTTTCAATAGTTTTTCAAACTCTAAAATGTCTTCTGTTTTTGAAAAAGGAAATTTTGCTAACAATATATTATCTTCAATTTCATTAGACATCATTCCTAATGTTGGTACATTGGCTTGAGTTAATTTTTTTATATCATTTTTTAAGCTATCCATCATATTCCAGAGCCTTTGGTTCATCAAGCGATTTGCTATAAGCTCTTCATGAATATTTTGTAAATTTTTTGTATTTTTTTCTGTAATAACTAATAATATATTTTAAAATAAATGGATAAAACTAATTATAGAGATATAATTATAGATTCATTTAATTAAATTTATTTTTTTTGTATAAATTCCCTCCCTTCAAAATTGTTTTTATTGCTCCCCTGTTTGGGAGAATTTTGGAGAACCTCTTCCTGAAATATGTAGTGTTGGTATTTAGATACTTAGATACTTAAGATATTTTTTCAACCTTAAAAACTACTTTATTATTATTTTTGTTCATTATTTTTTATCACATGAAACACCCCCTCCTCCTGAAATTTTTTTCTTACTACGCCCCTGTAAGTATAGAATTATATAATATACAGGTAATTTATACAATATTATAGGAAAGAATAAATTTTTCATATTAATTACATTATTTTATACATTAAGAGTAAAAAAATATTTTTAAGGTGCAACAACAAGACATCTCCAATTTAATTTTTTAATTTTTTTTATGTAATCAATTATAATTATTGCCAAGGTATTTGAATATATTTTTTGTAAATTTTTAAAACTGTTTATTAATTTTTAAAACCGTTTTTTGTTTCTCCTGAAAAATTTGTAAAAGTGGATGTCTTGTTGTTGCTCCGTGGTCTTCATTTATTAAAGGGTAGTCAAGTTAGAGAAACTTAGAACATATATAGGATTATAGCCTTATAAGAATGTGTGGTATGTCATTGTTTGTTTTATTAATTAATTTATAATACAATTTTTACTACCTTTAAGAGAATCTTGGGATAATGGTTGATCTTGCATTTCCAAATTCTTAACCTGACAAACAAAAAATAATTAATAACTAATTTGAAAAAAAGTTAGAATTAAGTTAAAATTTGTTTAGAACATTAAGTACCTGTGTTCCTGTATATGACGGTTCATATATGAATTGTTCGATCATATTTGAGTCTTGTAAAATGTTTGGCGGTGTTAAAGATTCTAGATTTGTAAAAGATTTTTCTTGGTTATCAGAAAATGATGAAATATCCGAAAAAAGAGAACTTGACACTGCGTTTGTAATGGAACCAGGTTGATTTAATTCATTTGATGAAAAACTATTGCCATGAGTAGAAGACGATGTAGACGGTTGCTGTTGTGTGTTTGTATATGTTTGAATTGCATCAGTATGTGTTGAATATTTAGTTGGTGGTATATTAAACTGTAATTCATTTTGATTACTACAAGGTTCAATACTATAACCGTTTGAATCTTAGAAAAGAGTAAATCAGAAAAATAGATAAGTTATTCAAAAACACAATTAATGTTAATAAGTTTATAGAAAAAATAAATATTTACCTTCATTTTCACTATCACTGGTATCCACAGTTTTACTTCTTTTATTTTTTTTAAAAGGGTGATGTTCATTTGAAATGCTCTCATTGTCAGTTGATTCTATTTCAATTCTTTCATGCCAAGCTTTCCTGAAATTACCTATATAGCCATATAATAAGGTAATATGAAAAAAAAATTAAAATTAGTGTAAATTAATGTATTAATGTGTTACATTAAAATTTAAATGTATCAAAATAAACGTTGTATTCCAAATTGGATTTTACATACTGTAAGTCTTATTGCCACCAACTACACGGATTTTATATTGACACCAGGACGGATCTGGATCTTCAGCATTTTCAATATCTGTGCTAGTTACTCTTATTGGTGGCCAATAACAATGTTGTATTGTACTGGTGGACAATTTCTCTAAATCTGTTTCAATGAGCCAGTTCATTGGGACAACGCTATAGTCCTTTTTTGGAGAAAATATAACAATAACCCATTTTTTTTTTAATGAATGAATCTAAAAAGATGAGACCAGGTTATCAGTATAATGTTTTTGTATTTTATTTAAATAATAGGTAGAAACAGTAAATAATTTATTAATACAAAATACAATTTTCAACTACTACTGAATTAAAACAATATTGTAATCAATAATTTTACTTAAATGTAACCGCTACCAAAAACCATTAAAAGTAAGATTTAACCATCACATTAAATTATCCCATTTAGAAGATAGATACCTACAGTTTTTGTGATATCATTGTTAGGCAAATAACCTTATACAGTGCAAAATCCTAATTTTTCATAAGGTATTTTATAATTTAGTATTCTCATAAGTCATAAGATATGTATTATAGTAAATTACATTTTTCATAAACTGTATTTGTTAGCACATTATAGCTTATTTTTAGTCTGGGAGAAGGTACCTACTCTTTTAATTATTTTTCTAATTCAAGCACTGCTTAATAAATAATAGGTACCTACAAATTGTTATATATTTATGTAATTTATACTCAATATGACAATATTATACGCTTACAAATTAATTATACCATGAGGTATTTATAATGATAGGTATAGTATTCTTTGACTCAACCAAAATTTTAAATGCTTTTAAATATTTTGCATTTTAAATTGTGCATGCATGTACAACTTAACTCAAAAGTCGGGGTGATTTGGAACAAATACCTTTGTTTAAAAAATGCTCTAGTACTATTAGTAGGTAGGTAGTATAAGTTTACTTTAATATTGTATGTGCCTAGACCTCTGAAATCAGTATTTAAAATGAATTAACAAGTATTAAATTCCTCAATCACCCAATCTGATGGTACAAAATAAATAAATACTACCTAGTACCTCTACTTACAGTTAGGTGCATACATGTTAAGCCAACGTAGGTTAAGTATAAAAATAATTAGTATAAATATCCTTAATGTTAATTTTAAATTAGATACAAAAAGTCTTACCTTTTTCAAAGTATTTGACATGCTTGTCATAGAAAAATAAATATGATGCTTGAGTTCACAATATACGTAGTCACAGTATGCGCGTAGTAATGAAAATGCAGCTATGAAATAACACGTGGAAATGAGAACAACACTCAACACTCAACAGAACAAATAAGACGTATTTTCGCGGGATACAAATATACAGTATATAAGTAATAGGTATGATTTATAATAAATTGTGTCTTATTATTATCATTTACTGCGGTTATTGGCTATTGCAGACCGATGATAGCCGTCGGGCGGGGATGCCGTGACGGGAACGGCCCGCATACAATATAAATAACAATTTAAAAATAGAAAATATATTGAATCAATTATTGTTTACCTAAAAACATGAAAATATCGTTACCGTGATGTTAGCCACAAAACATATTTTATAACGTATTTATTCCACATAGATGGAATGATTTTTTTTAAATATAAACAATTTTCAAAAATGTATGTTTCACAAAAACCTTCTAGTAACTAATTTGTAATATTACATTGTTATGTTACCATGGAACTTAAAAGTATATATTACTGGAATATTTGTAACAGTTCTTTGCACGGTGGGAATCATTATATTATATTATGTACAAGAAAAAATATTAGTAATATTTAGTAATAGTAATTTAATAATTTTATTTTAAAACAATCCAAGTACCTATAAAATACCAAACATTATAAGATGGTATTGGTTGGTACTTTTACTTTTAAACAATTTACTAAAACAAAAGTTTTGTTTATAAAAATCTCAAAAATAAATTCAATTTCATAGCAATAAAAAAATTATAAAAAAATTGTTATTAGCATACTGGTTTAATGATACATA